CTTTACCGCCTTAATGCGCTTAGTGTGGACATACGCAATCGACTGTATAAAATCGATTTCTAAAAATCGACTTCTATAAAATCGACCTAATTTCATAGTGTAGACATACCCTGAGTGTGTAGGCAAGACCCACCAGGCAGCTACCTTTGAAAGAATTCTCTGTAGTAACTCAGAGCCCTCCCCATCTAGTGTTCTGTCTCTGGCCACTGGGGACTTTTGCTACTAGCAGTCGCTGATGGGCCACATGCCATTGTAGGCAATCTCATCATACCATCCCCTCCATAAACGTATCAAGCTCAGTCTTGAAGCCAGTTAGGTTTTTTGCCCCACACTGCTTCCCTTGGAAGGCTGTTCCAGACCTTCACTCCTCTGATGGTTAGAAACCATTGCCTAATTTCGAGCCTAGACTTGTTGATGGCCAGTTTATATCTATTTGGTCATGTGTTCACATTGGTGTTTAACTTAAATAACTCCTCTCCCTCCCTGGTATTTATCATTGTGATGTATTTATAGAAAGCAATCATAGCTCCCCTCAGCCTTCTTTGGTTAGGCTAAAAAAGCCAAGCGCTTTGAGTCTCTTCTCATAAGGTAGGTTTTCCATTCCTTGGATCACCAGTGCCTTGTATAATGGTACTAATATTTCCCTGGCCCTACTGGAAATACTTCACCTGATGCATCGTAAGACTGCATTAGCCTTTTTCACAGCTATAACTCATTGACAGCTCATATTCATCCTGTGATCAACCAATATATCCAGGTCTTTCCCCTCCTCTCGCTCATCCAACTGATAAGACCCCCAGTTTATAGCAAAAATTCTGAGATATGGTTGGTTTGACTTGGGTCTTAGTGCTGCAATGTGGCCACCAGAGACCCATGTTCAAGCCTGGGTTAGAAAATTCTTAACATAAAGTTAAGAATCAGTGTTTATGCTCAAGCCCAGGGTTCTTTAACATGAGTCAGCCGACTGAAGTCCCACTAACCCTGTGCTTGCACTGCAGTTTAGGCATAGCCTTATTTTCCTAATCTCTGCTGGCCATAGAGTTCTCCTTGTGTCTCTTGGCTTTCCTTATCAATTTTCTACAATTTCTAACTTCTGAGTTATATTGATTACTATCACCTTTCCCTTTCTTTCATTTTGTCTCTGTGTGTGTTTGTATATACATTTTTTTTAACTGATGCCTTCACTTTCCCTCTAAACCAGGTTGTTGGTGTTTTTTAACTATCACAGCCTTTGTCCTTAATTGTGCAATTCTGGGATTATGACTTTTTGGGTGTCCAGGCATTCTTAAAAGATTTACAATTAGCATTCACAGTTATCGGATTAAATTCTTCCTCCCAGCTGATTTGGCTCATAATTGTTTTCAGCTTTGTGAAATTGGTCCTATACACCAAGTGTATATATTATGGGTCTGGACTTTATTCTGTTTGCACATTATAAATGTGACCAAGTCATGCTCACTTGTATTTAAGCTACCATTAACTTTTAGTTCTGTATCAGGTCCTCTTTATCTAGTAGGGCAAGATCTAATATAGAATTCCCTCATGTTGGCTGCAACACTTTTTGAATTGGGATATTGTCAGCTATAGTGGTTAGAAATTACAAGGCTGTTTTAGCCCTGGCAGCAATCAAACTGAAGATGTCCGTAATCACATAGTTTTTTTTATTCCTGCACATTATACATAAGTGCGTAAGGAGGTGCTCACCTTGTTCCCTGGTATGATTTGGTGGTCTGTAGCAGACACCAGCTTGTGCTTTATCTGTTAGGCCATTGATTCATAAGCATACAAAATAATTTTCTTCTGAGTTGTCAGTGAATGGGAAACAGGTAATGCCATTTTTGATGTAGAGTGCCACTCCCCCCACCCCTTTTACCCGCTTGACCCTTCCTAAATATATATATATAACCATTGATTTTAACATTCCAGTCAGATGAATCAGCTCCCCATATGTAGAGCCCATACATAGCTATAATATAGCGAGAATGACTGTGGCATATTTTATCATCAATCTGAAATGTAAAGTGTTGCTGAAGAAATGAACTATTAAACACTTTATCTAAGGTGTTAGATTCATCCAATGAGGCACTTATTGGCTGAGGAAAGTCAAATCAAGATACCTCAGGTCAGCTCAGCTTTAAAGCAAATGCCTCAACTTTCAGCTTTACAGAACTCTTCCTTGTTTATGACATGTTTAAGGGGATCACTTTCCACAGTCTGGCTTTGGGATTTTGGGGAGGGTCTTTGTGATAATTCTTTGCTTACACCAAGTCTTGGAACTACCAACAGCCCTCACCCCTGAAGAAGCTGGAGAAGTGACCACCATGCCGCTCTGATACAGGAGCCAGTTTATTGTGCTGAAGTTCTAATCTAACCTAGTATTTCTAAGGCACCTAGTAGCTAAATTCCTAATTAAAGTGACGAAGAAACATAAGGGGCAAGAACAATATAAATAAGAGGGGGAAAAAGTATGAAAAGGCAGAATAGTCTGAAACCTGAGGAAGAGGAAGAACCAGAGGCTAATAAAACTGTTCTGTAGTCTCTCTAAACAAGGTAGTGTAGGGCAGGATTGAATTCAGGCCAGAGCTTCTCAATAAACTGTTTTTTTTTCCCTGAGGGCCTTACAGAATTCCATACAAATAAGTGCTGACAGCCATGTTAAATAGCTGCTCTTACTGGGGGAGGTATGACCTCATGCTGCAAACAGTTGGTTTTTGTCAGTATTTGCATCTCAGTGTGTATATAGTCCCATTTTTGGTTTTGTGACAAAGAAAAGAGTAAGGGCAGAAAATACTTCAACATACAGAACTTCACTTTTGTAACAGAAATGAAAACAAACCCATCTTGGTGATGAAGAAATTACAATCTGTCATTTGGTGATCCCACATGGCAGTTCTTGCTCACCGATCCATGGATGAACTGTTTGGTAAATTTGGGGTCAGGAAAAATCTGACGGCATGTCAGCCATTTTGTTTTGCCTTCTTCTGGAGCACTGAGTGCGACCCATCCATTATTGCCAGGTGAATGTATTCCACACACTCAATTTCCTGAGAAGGCAATTGGTCCAAGCAGCTTTAAGTGCAACTGAAATTAGGACAGTTTTTCAGAAAACATAATAAAATGTCAGAGAAAGAAGATCACCCTTCATTTGTCATGTGACAATGCTAAAAAGTCACATAACAAGTTGCTCAGTTCCAACCCTGAATGAAGAGTTTTAATAGCTTCAGGATATTTTATTATCCCTAAAACTACTTTGTCTCGGTCTACTTCACTACAGAGTTTCGACTAGACCCTCCCTAATACCTAGCCTTTCTGCTACAAAATTAAATGACCAGTACCTATATGTAATCTCACATATTTATTTTATGATCTCATTATTTTTCCTTTTGTGGCCTTTTTAAAGTGGTGTCACAATTCCTTCCACATTTGTCCCGAAAGGTGATCACACTCTTTCCTTCACTGCTCTGATATGGTCTGATTCTTATGCCCTGCTTGTACACTGCTCTGACAATCAACTACACTTTCACTTGCCGTAAGGCACCTTCACATTGCCAGTGAGTTGTAAAGGGGCTGTTTGCAAGAGAATCAGGTTCACAGTGCTCAGTTTTGTAGCATGGAGCACTATAAAACCACTGTCTTCTCTGCATAGAGCTCAACTCCTGAGAGTACTGAAATGCATTATTAAGCTTCCTATATCATTCCTTCAACTCATCTTCAGTCAGGTAACAAAATATGGAAGATTTCAATGAAAGCAGGTTAAATGCCTGTATCTAATCTAGCTATAGTGTGTCTAAATTGCCTATCACTTTGGTAGCTAAACGCTGAGAAATGTCAGATTCTTCAGAGTTGGTGCAATAAACCTGAGCAGATCCTGGGGGGAAAAAAATCTAACTCCTGGTGAGTGTAATGAGCTTTTAGATATCTTGTGACACTCTTCAGGTTTTTGGCTCAGTTCTGATCTGTGGCCAAATCCTGAAATTCTTACTCCAGCAAAAATTGCCAGTATTTCAAATGAGACTTACTTGAGTAAGAACAGGCTAACGATCCTGATTCTGCATTGCAATGCTCATCATATAGTCATTTACACATGAGGAAAGTATCTGAAAATTGGGTGTAAGAGGCTGCTAGTCCGATTTGATTGCGTTTTACATCCATTTTGCATTCATTCTACACAGGCCCAAAGACGTCCTGATTTAGCTCACTGACATAATAAGGTTGTCTGAGTAAAAGCAGTAAAAATACATGGAAGAGGTCAGGATTTGGCCCATAAGCTGGCAAATAGAAAATAGCTACAGGCTCATATAGAGGAGAATTCACAATCTCACTCTGGCAGCACTACTTCAGACGCATTGTTGGTCTTTAGTAGCCTCCTTCCACCCTTCCCTTTCCCTAGCCATAATGAAAAGCATTCAGGATGCCCAGAATGTCTGTTTTGTATCCACCAAGACACTCAGTGTAATAGTGGGGTTTTCTGGAGAGGCTTGAGCCGTTGAAAATTAAAGATTTATGTCCAATTGCATGCACTTATTATGCTACAATTAAATATCTCCATTATTTGGGGATAAGGGCACACATAAAAGACAGACAAAAAAAACCAAAGGGCAACAAATTCTGATGTTTTTATAGGGGAGAGAAAAAAATGCATGTGTAGGATTAGTGACAGCTGGATCCACCTTGGTAACCATCAGATAAAGGAATGGCAGCAAGCATGTTTCCATGTAGATACTAACGCTGGCTAATATATGACTCTGCTTATGTCAAGAGGGTCTGACACTAGATTTCAATTATTTTGCTATGTATTATACATATTATACATTTAATAGAAGGTGTCTTATCAATGAAAATTCAGAAAGAGCAACCAGAAGAGAGCTAGCAGGAAATAGCATCATTCTCATCACGAGCCTGGCTCAGAGATGACATGACAAATGTGGCTTCTTTCTGTTCACACGGAACTTTGAGGCCAATAATAATAATAGAAAAAGCCCACACAGATACAGCATAGCCACATTTTACACTTTTATTTGGGTTTAGATCAACAACACAGAGAAAATACTTTGGTCAAACACAAGAAGAAGAGGTTGCCATGTAGTTCTTTCTGGCAGTAACATGGAAAAATGCTGGTGTCCTCATGAAACACTGAATGTATATCTTGGATTGGCACATAGAACTAATAAATACAGTGTTTGTACTTAGCATTTGAAAACAGAATTGCACATGCAAGATGTAACCAGGCTACTGCTCACCTTCACCATTGTCCCTGTACTATTTTTTACACTTAGTTCTTCGTCCCCATTTTCTCTGCTACAAACAAGAACAGAATTTGTTCGGCTGCTCAGTGTTTCAGTGACTACAGTTGGTAATTTTGTGACCTGTTTGGATAAGGTTGCTTTAGTCCTCATTGGCAGAATTGGTATCTGCTCTAAAGCTTTAATTGAAACATTATGCATTGTAGGTCGTAGTGGGTCACTACTGGGGTGAGGGGAATGTTCTTCTCTCAAGCTGATCAGGAGAGGATAGTACTGAGCAAAGATATAGTATAGGGACTTGTGTGTGAATGCAGCTCTTACAATACCAAGAGTCAATAGTACTACCACACAAAGAAAGACATATCAATAATATATTGTACAAGCTTATTCAGTAACACATGTTGATTTGCAACACTGTACAGTTTAAATCTAAAATGCACGGCCTCAATCTGAGGTGACAAACAGTACTATCAATATAATAAAGGCAACACAACTACAGACACAATTTATTTCCTCTTCTCATGTCACATCCTCATGACATTACACCGAATCAATACCCCATTTATGTATTTTAGGTCAAATTAAACCACTCTGCACTAGTTTTCTTCAAGTATTTTAGAGCGAGTAAAGCAATCTTGCTTTACAAATGAAAGTGGCCATGTAGATTCCAGTCAAAGCTACAACCAAAACTTAACTAGGGTTATAAATAGAAACAAGTCTGAGCCATTAAGTCCTGATCCAAGCTCTTCCAGATTTTGAGGAAGAGGAGGTTGAAGCTCAGTTTCCACTTCCATGCCTCCCCTAGTGTTGAAGAATGACTCAACATATCAGTTATGCAGGATTTTGCACCCATGATTTCTAAATGGGTCTGGATGACTCTACAATGACTGTGCTATGAGTATCTAGGCATATCTCAAAGCATTCTAATAGCAATTTCAATCAGACAAACTCAATGTAGAGCTGGTTAGTAGATTTAATCAAAACACTTTTTGAAAAAAGTGTTTTGACTAAACTGAAATTTTTCACAAAGTTGTATTGAGTTCTACAAAATTTCAGGCAAATGAAAAAAAAGTTGAGAATGAAAATTTTCAGAATTTCCATTTTGTGGGAAATTGCAAACATTGTTGTTGTTCTGAATTAGAACAAACATTTTTGAACGTTCCCGTGAAACTGAAATTCTGAGTTTCCAGCAGCTCTATCCCAGTGCTGGGAATGGGGATGTTTAGAAAAACTGTTGTCATGTGGAAAACTCAGGTTCCACCATGACATGAGCATCTGACTTAGGACCCTATTCTGAGACCTTTACATATACAAAAGTCCTTATTCATCCAATTAGCATTGCTCCTGTGAGATGTAGTAGGATCTGGGTCTTAGCGAATTCTAGTCAATCCTAGTTTTCAATTTATTTTTATCTCTAATGAATAAATTACTGTTTGCAAAGATGCTTATGACACAAGTATTTAGTGTAAAGTGTGGCCCTTTTTGATAGGCTGTTTAAAAGTAGAACAAAGAAACCACACAAATATAACCTTAGTTCAGTCTTGGTTAGGACTGTATATTGATTGTCCATTTGCTTAGGTTAGGCCACATAGGAAATATATTTAGGAATAATAGCATCCTATTGTTGTATGTAGTAGTTCTTATTAAGAGTTTTTAAGAGCTGCAGTACTTGTGAGGTTTTGCAATACTTAACTCTAGAGATGTACAATCCATGTGACATATAGAAATGAGGCATTGAACCTTTTAAAGAATTTATGTGGGCTTATGGTTCAAAATAATCTTTGTAGATATTTGATGCACCTCTATTAAAAGAAAAAAAATCTTGTTTAGTTTTCAGTTTCTGCCCCTGCATTTTTATAACCCATATAAAATAAAAATCTATAGTTTACAAAATAGGATATTTTAATATATATATATTCCTTTTTTAAAATTATATGTATTTAAATACATTTGAAATGTTGCTATAGGTAAATTAGAAATTCTGTTCTAAATCTAAGAAAAAGGCAAAATATTTTCACTTTTAAACATACAGTTCCTTTACTTTATATATCTTACTGCCCCCCACCCCCATTTGATTTTGTCACCATTTGGGGCAAATTTGGCACCACTCAATCTGATTACTTTTAACCTAAAACATTATTTACTAACTGTATTAAAATTTGGGGGGAAATTGCAAGTATCTTCTGTTATTTCTTATTTGTTTGAATGCAGCCTTTTGTGTATCTAATTATTAAAGAGGTATTCTAAAACTCAAGAGAGGATTTTAAAAGGAGCATGTTTCTTGATTTTAAACTGTACTCTACGTTGACGCCACAATATAGAAATAGATTTACTTTGGAACAAACTACAAATACATTCGCACAGTTTGTGACAACTTAATTGTCTACCTAGAGGTTCTGGACCAGACTGGCAGACCAGATTATTATAAATCTTGTCCCAGACGTTCTATTTCCTCAATCAGGAAATCAATGTCTTGATGAGAAGCTGCTGGGTTTGAGATGACCATACGGAAGAAGTTCACTTTGTCTCCCAGTGGTTGATAGCTGACCATAGTAGTTCCATATTCCATCATTCTGGCTTTTATCACTGGGGCCACCTGCAAAGGTATGATACAAATATCAAATAATTATTTCTAATTCTAGAATTTGCTTGCTTTTTTTAATAAGAGAAGGAAGCTAAAACAAAATAAGAAAAAAGTTAATTTTTGGCAAAAAACGAATTCAGCACAGAGTAAACTGATCAATTTATAAATTGGAGAGGGTACAGAGAAGAGCCATGTGAATGACTAAAGGATTAAAAAACATGCCTGATAATGATAGGGCCAAAGAGCTCAATCTATTTAGCTTAACAAAGAGAAGGTTAAGGGAGTGACTTGATTACAGTCTATATATATCTACATGGGCTACAAATATTCAATAATGGGCTCTTCAGTCTAGCAGAGAAAGGTGTACTATGACCCAATGGCTGGATGCTGAAGCTAGACAAATTCAGACTGGAAAGAAGGGGTAAATTTTTAATGATGAAAGTAACTAACTATGGGAACAATTTACAAGGGTTTGTGGTGGATTCTCTGTCACTGATCATTTTAAATCAAGACTGGATGTTTTCTAAACGATAAGCTCTAGGAATTATTTTGGGGAATTTTTATGGTCTGTGTTATGCAGGAGGTCAGAATGGATGGTCCTTTCTGGTCTTGGAATCTATGGCTAGTCTACACTACCGCTTAAGTCAATGTAACTTATGTTGCTCAGGGATGTGAAAAAGTCACCCCCCATGAACGATGCAAGTTACATCGCCTTAAAGCAATGTCCATACTGCGGTATGTCAGAAGGAGACACTCTCCTGCTAACATAGCTTCCACCTCTCATTGAAGTGGAGGTATTATGCTGAAGAGAGAGTGCTCTCCTATCAGTGTGTCTTTACCAGACGTACTACAGAGGCGAGGTTGCATTAGTGAAGCTGTGCCAACGTAGTGTGATAGTGTAGACTAGCCCTATGACTCTATGAAAGTACTGCATCAGAAAGGGGTGCTCTGGGGGGGCGGTCCGGGGGCACTGCAGGTGGGGGTCGAGGTGACCCGGGACCCCCTCTGGTGCTGGGGGAGGGGAGTGGCAGCGCTCAGCTCAGGACCACCGCTTGCGCTGTAGGGGGCAGGTGGCAGTGCTTGGCCTGGGACCACTGCTGGTGCTGCGGGGGTGGTGGCATTGCTGTCAGGCTACCTACCTGGCTCGGAGTGTACCTGCAGCTCCTAGGGGGAGGGGTGGCCAGGGGGGCTCCATGTGCTGCTCCCACCACAAATGCTAGCTCTGCAGCTCCCATTGGTCAGGAACCGCAGCCAATGGGAGCTGCGGGAGTGGCACCTGTGGGGGCGGCGCCTGCGGGCACAGGCAGTGCGCAGAGCCACCTGACCCCTCCACCTAGGAGCTGTAGGGACATGCTGGTAGAAGCCGGGAAAGCCCTCCCCCCGGTAAGCGCCGCCCCACACCCCAACCCCGTGCCCCAGGCTTGGGCCCCCTCCTGTCCTGGGTAGCCCCTGAGCCAGCACCAGCCGCTGCAGAAGTCATGGAAAGTCACGGAATCCATGACTTCCATGACCTCCGTGACAGACCCTCAGCTTTAAACATGGGAGATGTAGTTGAATCAGGGAGACCAGCCTATAGAGGAGCTTGGTGAACCTGAACTACCACTCCCATGAGGCACTGTGGCAGCACTTCTGAATCAAAATATTTCAATTTTTGGATGAAATATTTTTGATTTTGATTTTTCATTGAAAAAAGTAAATTTTTCTATGGAAAGCTTCAATTTTTCATTGTTGTAAAAAAATTTGATGGGAAAAAAGACTCATTTTCTGACCATCTCTAATAGGTATGCATGTGCCTACTTTCAAGTGTGTGAGTAGTCCCACTGCCTTTAGCTAGGCATGCCAGAGGGAAGTGCAGGTAGGTGCCCAAGATTGTTTCATCATCTGATTTGTCACCTTTCTACTTTAGATAAAAGCAGCAGTATTTACAAGGATTTAACTTTACATGTATCAGCAGACGTTGCATGACATTGCAAAGGCAGTCATGACACCTTGCAAAGGCACAAAACCATTCTTTATATTGGCAATAAATGGCTCAGAGCTATTCTAACCAGTGTGCTAACACTCAGTATTGCTGACAAATGCAATTAACACATGTCATTTTCTGCATAATCCTCAAGCATATTGTTATAATCACTTTCCCTTTGTTTTCATATGCTAGACCTCTACCACACAATCAAATTAAAGCCTCTGGTCAAATTGTTACATTTGTTAGGATCACCAGTTGCAATTTAAATTGTTAACATCAAGGATGACCAAAGTTCAAATAAGCACCATAGAGAAAAATACTGAGAAAGGGCAAACACATAGAATACAAAAGACACAGACCAGCATTTGAGTGAACTGAATTACAGATGCATTTTGTAAACCCACTTACCTTGCAGAAAGAAACCATTAAAATAACATTGGAAGTGTTCAAATGATCACTTTTATGTCACTAGTTTTTCCAATTTATAAAAACATAACTAGATACCTCCCACCCAGTGCTCTGAGAGTCCCGACAAAGCGATTCCCTAGTGAACCACCTCTTCATCAAAGCCCCATTCTTGATCAGACAACATCCCCGGGGCAGCTCATGTGGAGAAATAACACTAGGAAAGTCTTTGTGTATTTTCAGCCCTCTTTTAAGCACCAAATATTTTGGCTTTTTATTAATCACATTGTCTGCTCTTGCTCTTCACTTCAACTCCCCTTCCATCCATTCTGTTCCTCTCATCCCCCGGCACAGGCTGCCCGATTCTCCTCCTCCTACTCCCTTGGACAGGCTGTCTGGTTCTTCTCTCTCACCCTCTCTGCAACACCTTCTGGCATTTCTAGTCCCTAAATACAGCTCCTGTTTCCTCGCCTCCTCCACTTATATAGCAGTGGTCCCTAAAGGAGGCAGCTGGGCTGGCTTCTCTTCCTTATTTCCAGATCTTTTTACAGGCCTCCAGTCTCTTTGGAAGCTAGAGGTAGGGAGGAGCAGCTAGCATCATGTAACCTTCCAGGCCTCTGTAGACCACCACCAAGTGCTCTGCAGACCACAATTTGAGAAAACCATTATGTTAGAGATGAGCCTGATACACAAAGATAGGATCCAAATTTGGTTTGAACTTCCCCAAAGTTGGGGACTGAAGGGCTGTTATCCAAGATTCTTGTGCAAGCCCATCTCTAATATTTTGAAATATTTTCAGCTAAAGATACCTGTGGCCTTTATGTTGATGACATGGGCATGCCTTGCATACAATGAACCAACATATCTTATTTACCTTTAGAAGGCAGTTCATTCTTTCTTCGTTGTCCTCCATGCTGCGCAAACTGGGAGGTACGTACCAGAAGCAGACATTTGTGTGCTGAGGCTAAACACAAAATAATAATGGCTTACACGGCAAAAAATGTTCATAATATCTCAACTGCAATTAATTCCATGCCTTTCCCTCCTCTCATACATCATGTTATGACAGCAATCATTGGCTTTCATTACTGCACACCACAGAGAGTCATTAGAATCATTATTAGGGATAATTTTAGGCAATTTATCCCAAAGAAGACAGACCCAGATATACATCCCCCACTGTGCCTATGCATTTGTCCCCTACAGAGAGACATCTGGATTCTATAGGTGCTGTCCTTTCAAGAGGCTGCATGGAGTATGGAGTTAATGTCTCTTCAGAAGCAGGTGTCTATAGTAGATGACCTACTTAATAGAGCATCCTGGGTACTTTGATTTTGTTGTGTGACTATATAATGTATAACTCTGGACATATAGGCTAGAGTCAGAGGTGAGTGTGAAATGGTATAAATTAGATTCTCTTCTATTCCTTGAAGTTCCCTGGTGCTCAGTTACACTTCCCTACATTCCATTAAGCTCCCTTACTAATGTGAGAGAATAATGGAGTCTAAACTAGTTTAATTTGCACATTTAGGAGCCAGAAGAAGACAGGTGAAAAGTAGGGCGTGGCCTGTTTTCATGGCTTGTGCATGCCAAGTTGGGGTGTGAATCTACAGTGCACTAGCATGCCATGTGGAGCCTGTTTTCATTGAGTCACCGGTAAAAGTCGGCTATTGACTTTCATCTGGATGATTCAAGCTACAATACCCCACACTGCTGCCTCATTTCACTTGTCCCACAATGATGGGAATCATTAGCAGTTTCCTTTGTAAGGAGCATGTTTTTGGATCCTCCAAAACCAGATTGTCCTAGCAGTAGCTACACAACTCCTGACGAAATGTACCAAATTTTAACGTTACAGTAAGTCAGAATACATACCTTTCCATCAAACACCATTTCATAGCCTTCTCTGTTCTTTATTTTATTATATAGATATTCTGCAAGTTCCAAGCACTTGTCAATTTGTGCTTCAAATCCTGTAGTTCCCTTCATAAAAAAAGAACACAATATTTTGTATCTCTCTGTATTCTGAATTGCTATCATGTCAGGAATACGTGACACTTGCTAAAGCAAATATGCAGGTTACTTCTCTAAAGTCTATCTTGGAGATGCTGTACACCTTCTTGTTTGCTATGAATAGTTCACCCAGCTCTAGCTGTATCCATCTGACCTGTATGAAATAGGTTGGTGATATCAGTCCAGTTGCTAATGGGCCACTGAAGCTAGGAATCACTGATGGGAACACTTGTTGGCAGCCTCTGCAGTGAGGCCATGGATTGGAAAGCTGTGGAGCATGAACTCTACAGTTGTTCCTTCTTGGTCAGGGTTGAGTCACATTGTGAGGAAGGGTGGAAGTTTGCACTGATCTATGGAGAGAGGACTCTAGCCTGCAGTGGGGGCACTCTGGCACCTATTCCTAGCCCAAAAAGCCCCTAGAAAATTAAATGATAACATGAGCTTTTAAAGAGCAGCTTGATGTCTGGTGAAAAACAAGCATTCTAATTAGAAAGCAGCTCTGTCTCTTCAGCATGGCCATTTTTTTCCTCTCCTCATTGCTACTTGATAAAGGACATTTGTATGAAATTGGAATCTTTGTTTTTAAGAGCTTCAGTTTCTCCTGCTGCTTCCTTTCCAGCTCAAGTCCGTTTGCGATATCATAATCATTTCTCCAACCACCAGCTGTGATGCCTCTAATAAAGCATTATTATGGCTTCAAGTCAGGAGAACAAGCTGCAGAAACAAACTATTTAAGAAACACTGATCCTATGTTAATGTAAACATTCCAATTTAAATAGAGGTGGGAAATTGGGAGAAAAAATAGTCAAAGAAATGATTTGGCCTTTAAGAAAAAATGTTTATAAATAAAAGTCCACTCAGCCCAGCTAAATCTGATTTGTGCTGTGCTGGCACTGCAAAGCAGACCTAAAGCTAGTTTAAGTGGACTTTTGGGTAGGGACATCCTACAGTGGTGCAGAGGCAGCATAGTGCCAAGCATAGGGGGTGTGGCCAAAGAAAAAGGGGTGTGGCCAAATTTCCCTTGCACTCGGAAGGCCCCCACTATTACAGCAGCTCCTGGGAGGCTATTTCAACTAGGACAACTTGAAAACTGTCTTGAGGCTTCTTGAAGTTGTTCCTTGCAACTGGTCCCGTGCCTAGTGGCCTGAGGATCAGGGAAACACAAAGATGGCTTACATCCAATTTTGAAGACTCCTGGTTACAGTCCCAAAGAGCTATCCCAGGATGTGTTTAGGCTTGAAATTAGACGAAGGTTTCTGACCGTCAGAGGGGTGAAATATTGGAACGGCCTTCCGAGGGAAACGGTGGGGGCAAGGGACCTGTCTGGTTTTAAGATTAAATTAGATAAGTTTATGGAGGGAATGGTTTAATGGTAAAACATATTAGCTGAGGAATACCGAGCAATAGCAGGTAAATAGTATAATGGCTAACAAGGGTCAGGCTGGAGACTCTTGCCTACATGCTCGGGGTCTTACTGATCGCCATATTTGGGGTCGGGAAGGAATTTTCCTCCAGGTTAGATTGGCTGAGGCCCTGGAGGTTTTTCGCCTTCCTCCGCAGCATGGGGCAGGGATCGCTAGCAGGAGGGTTCTCTGCCAATTGAAGTCACCAAGACACAGGATTTGGGGACTTCATCAGCAGAGTCAAGGGAAGGGTGGGGACGGTTTTGTGGCCTGCAGCATGCAGGGGGTCAGACCAGATGATCATAATGGTCCCTTCTGACCTTAAAGTCTTTGAGTCTATGAGAATTTAGTATAGATTATATTCCTATTACAGGATTTCCTAGGATGGTTCAAAACCATATAGAAAGAATATAATTCTCTATGTAATTTTTACAGAAACCCCCTATCCATTCATCCTTATTACTTTGTAGGTATAAGACTTTGCCATAAGAGCAGAGAAAATGTAACTGTTGAAGGTTATCAGTTAGTTATATATGGTTACAGGAACCTAAATGATTTGGGCTTTAATTCTTTACCGCTGTTTATAAGTTTGTATACCTTATGCGTTACTGAACTAGAGAATTTTTTGGGGGGGTCAAATCTGATGATGTAAGAAACACCTTATGATCTGCAAAAAAAATAAAAATAAAAAAGTCTTGAAAGAGGACTGCAACCAATCAGAATCACTAGCTGAATATCTATTTGCATGTGGAGTATGAAGCATCCAATGTATGGAACTCAGGAAAATAACAGAATTCAGGGACTGGAATGCTCTTGACAGAGACATAATGAGGCTATAAAGGAGAATCTCATATGAAGTTGAAAACTGGAGTAGTATGTGTAGTAGTATGTTCTGATTTGTCTTTATCAACTTAAGAGTTGATCCTTTCCTCCTAAAACTCAGAATAGATTTTTTGAAATTGGATGTATGTCAATAGAGAAAGCTTTCATGCTATCCAACGAACTGTGCAACTTTAGCAGATTGTTTTTACTTTCAGCTGTTTTCCAGCTTTCAAAGTTCAGGGTTGGGTTGCGGCTTTCTTTGTGGATGTTTGATTTATTATTACGTGTGATATGAGAAAATTCTAAACATAGGAGAAAAAAATTATAGGATAGAAAATGAGGCTTCAGACTGGTGCCTGACTGCTGGTCAATGAGAGAGGAAAAACCTAGAGGACAGAAAGTGCCAGAAGTAGGGAACCCAAAGGAGTAGGTAGGTGAGCCTTGATTGCTGCAAACAAGTGGAATGAAGCATTTGAAGCAGATAGGGCAGGAAAAGACTCCTGGGACACAGGGTACCCTGGACGTAGGAAGACAGAGCATGTGACTAGGAGGATAAGGATTATGATGGGGGCAAGGAAGTTAAGTGGCCCTGACTGGGAAAATGCCAAAAAGAACATTCCTGGTGAATCAGACCTTATAACATCAGCGAGCAGCATGCTGGAAGCTTGAAGCCAAGGGGTTCCCCTTTTACATAACAAAAAAAGACTCAGCTGGCAACCCCATTTTAGAGCATTCAGAGGAGAGAGATGCCAATTAAAAATCCCATTAGGTCATTTCAGAACTTCTGTTTCAAGAACAATTAGAGGGTTTTTGTTTTGTTTTTTAGAATAAATTTCTGGTGCATTTTACAACTTGGAACTGTTTTAAGACTCCTTCCACCTTCCCACCCCTGCTGTACAGTTAGATAAATAAGGCAGGCTGTATTAAAAATGAGCAGATAGATGGAACTTGCTTCAGTGAAGAATGATATGTGTCTCTTGCTGCTCCATTGAAATGTTTATAATGATCACTCATGGTTATGAATAATGTTCTTCCTTATCATCTCTCCCCTAACGGCATTGAGATGTTAAAATTTAGAGGAGAAGCTCTTACTGGACTTTTTTTTTTAATTCAGTTTAAAACTTGAAAAGGAAAAAAGGTGGTTAGTGTTCAGGCAAGTGTGGGGCTGATAACAATGGTCTGAACCAGCTTAGACAAGAGCTGTGCAAACTTTTCTTCAGAACCAACACACACAGCTCTTCATCTATGGCACTCCAACCATTCTTGTCTTGCCTCCCCAGCACTTACACTCCTCTGTTAGGACTTGCTCCAAAACTCACCAAAGTCAATGGAAAAACTCCCACTGACTTCACTGCACTTCAGGCATGGTCTCAAGCATTACTTGCTACTGCAATCCTGAGCTTCCCTTGAACATAGACCACTGGGTAGTTGATACCAAACTATCTCATGATTTTGTGATTTGCACTAATGGGGGCTAAACTGAGACTCTCTTTTTCACTCGGGACCTAAGCTAGGAGTTCAACTCAGCTCTCTAGACCAGCCTTGACAAGGTTTGAGAAAAGCCATGGATCTGATTCAAGCATAAATTATTTCAATTATTTATTTTGCTTAAAAGAATTAGAAAACTGCTAGTGAAAGCTAAAGAAACAGTGACTACATCAAGCAGCGGGAACTCTGCTCCCTTGAAAATTCCCTGTCAACAACTGGCACTAATTAACATCATGGTCCACAGAATAATTGTAAAAGAGAGGAACCAAGGGCTGAATAGTATCAGGGGGTAGCCGTGTTAGTCTGTAGCCACAAAAACAACAGAGTCCAGTGGCACCTTAAAGACTAACAGATTTATTTGGGCATATGCTTTCGTGGGTAAAAATCCTCACTTCTTCAGATACATCTGAAGATGCTGCATCTGAAGAAGTGAGGTTTTTTTACCCACAAAAGCTTATGCCCAAATAAATCTGTTAGTCTTTAAGGTGCTACCGGACTCCTTGTTGTTTTTTCAAGGGCTGAATAGGTATGGAGAGAGAGTGGTTCTTTCAGCTCTAGAAATGCCTGCAGAGGGTCAGGGAGAAGGCATTTCAGCGAGCTGGCTAGAGGAAGCATGCCTTGCCTCGGCCTTTGGAAATCATTAGGACTGCTCATGTGAGTAAGTGTTCATCAGTGAAATCTAGCCCTTTACTCTCTACTCCTGTCAGGCTAGTAACTTTCACCAGCATTAACTCCACCACAAAAGAATGAAAGAAAAACATTAACTAATCTGTCATATACAGGGCCGCTGAGAGCGGATTCAGGCCCTGGTGGAAAAAAAATGTTTGGGCCCCCCAGCAAGGGTGGACTGGCTAAACAGGGCCGACGAAAGGGGGGGAAAAACAGGGAAGCCGGGGCCCCTTCCGGGCTGCCGGGCCCCGGTAAGGTGACGAGGGGAGGGGGGAGGGTGCCGGGGAAACCGGACCCCAGGCCCCTTTCCGGACCCCGG